GAAAAAAAATTATCACTTAATGCTGGTAACAGTTTCACACAATATATGCATTTTTTTTCCCAAAAAACTTATAATGACAATCATTTCTGTAGGATATCCTGATGCTAAGCACAACACACCTAAACATTTATGACATTTTAAGGCCACATTTATCTAATTTGACCTTACTAAATCAAGGTCAAGATTATGCACTTAATCTCACGTTTTCTTATCAGTCCATTGTACAACAGCCTGATTTCATTCATATGCAGAAAAAGCTCTTTACCTCTACTGACAGGCCCTGTACAGCTTGAAAAATCTATATTGACCTTTTTTATCAATCTTAAAAAGAAATGATTATAATGAGGAGGCACTTTATTTATAGTATATTGGGTTAACCTTATCTGGAACATAGATATGCAACATGCTATTCAAGCAGTATATAATTTCTTCAAAGAAATTTTGAGTCAACTATTGTTAGTAAACAATTTGCATAAGCAATAATATCTGAGCAAAATGCAATCACCCTTTTTCCATTTATGTGAATATTACTCATAGCCTATTATGGGATATCTTTCAACTTTTTTCAGCTATTCTTTTTATGTAAGTAAAATATTTCCAGCCACAGCCTACTGTAATCAGAAGACAAAAACATATGTAGAATTGTAGATTTGTTACATAATACAATACAATCTCACTTGATTGTTCTTAAAGTTTTGGACTAATCTGAAAATATATAATTTTGGAATGTCTGAGTGAGACCTTGTGACTCCACTATCTTCCCTCTCTATAAGATCCCTATATTTGAGTTATCACTCTGATATGGAACTTATCTTCAAGGTTCTACTAACACACTAGCTGAATTTCTTTAAAAGATTTAATAAACACAGCCATGATACCAAAATAATCCGTTGGTCTTAGTCCTAAGGGAGGTCATGACAATGACTTGCCTTTTTCTATCTATAGTGTGATATCTCACACTTCCCACCCAAATTTCCTGACATCATTATTCTAAGAATATATAGCTGTCAAAACCCAATAAGTGGATACTCTAATAAGATTGAAACTTATTATGCTATAATATTCTCCACAACTCTTTGAATTATACAAATGAAGAAAATGCAATCAGAAAATTAAGGAATATCTTCTTTATAATTGGGAGTGTACATTCAAAATCCTTGAAATTTTTCATGTATATGTTAGATGTCCGAGGCAGACTCGGAAATTTTTTGTTTTCCATAGCCATATGGTATAAGGGAAACATGCAACATGAAATACAACGGGTAATTCTCCATCTAAAAAAAATATATATTCCTCAATCTAAGTTGCCGTGATTGCGTGTGCCCTTTGGGCACTGCCAAGAGGAGGGTTGATGGGGGGGCTCTGCCATCATATCAACATCTCCTAGAAAACATTGTCTTCACCTCATATGCACTGAAAGATAGACTTCGGCTGAGAGTGGTGCTTTCCACAATCTTTAATAATCCAAACAGGAGAAGAATAATGTCAGAAATAAAGATGACAAGTCTCAAAAAATGCAGTACAGAGAATAAGTCCACAGCAATTGAATGGGGTTTCATCCCAGTGGGTAAATTCAGTGATTGGGTTGCAGTCTACAGGCTCTGCAGTCACATTATAAACAGTTACTGATACTTTCAATTATTTTCTAAACTAGTCATTTGTAATACAAAATGACAAGATTCATGCATATACACCAAGAATAATTGGAAACAAAAAAAACACCGACTTGTGGTTGTCATCCAAACATTTACCATTCTTTTGTGTCTTAACTAACGCATAATTTTGACATCAAGATACCCTTTTGTCTGACCTCCTGGCCAACCTCAGAAAGTACGATGGTATATTGTTTTCATTTCTGGCACCTCTAGCTTGCTGTTAACCTAGACATTCGAAGATACAGGACAATGAATTATAGCGTTTTATCTGGAATCACAATTGCCATGTACTAAAGAATGTCAGTCACTGGCCACTTAGAAATTACATTAAAAGCTAGGTAAGCCACACACAAAAAAATAATATGTATATACTACTTAACCTGGTGCTGCAATTAGAATATACATTCAATTCAATAACAAATAGAACTTTTACATAGCACTTAATGCGGCTGAAATCACACATCTCTCACTCAATCTCTTAAAACGCCCATAAAAAAAAACAATTAAAAGAAAGACCAGAACACCTCGACACTTCTACCTGAGCTGAAGACCTCTATGTCTCTTCCCCGATTCCAGACAAACTATTTAGCACGGACACAAAAGCCACCAGATAGACTACCTCATGATGGAGAATATAATGCCTCTACGGCCTGACGATGACACGAAGAACTCTTCACAGAGAGGCCGCTAATCCTTCCTTCCCGTACGATGTCACGGACTCTTCTGCTTGCCGACGACAGACTGGAACCCAAGGCGGATTCTCGCAGTTCTCTCTCGCAAGCTAGTTTGCGCTCGTGACGTCATTGGCAAGTCAGTTCGGGAGGACAAATCTTCTGTTTTGGTAC